TCTCTCATCTCTCCTCTCTGCTCTCTCTCCTGCGCTATGCTATCTAATCTTTATTGGCTCCTGATAATAGCTAGCCGTACGCCGTGCGTAGTATCCGAGATTACGACTCACCTTTCTCATGCCTGTCTCGATTTTAATATACGGCCGATATGCGATAGTTACTCATGTTGCATTCCGCTTCGCTAAGGTAATTAACAATAAGAAACAGCTCTTCACCGCGGGGCGTGCACATGGTGACACGCAAGCTGGTTTAGCCGTCTATTATGGGCAGACGGGAAATTACTCGCATATAATTACGTATATTTGGAATATTGTACAGGCAGGGTCTGGTGGCTCTGCTTTCTGCTCTCGCCGTGCGTCTTTTACGCTCTGCTCTCTCTCTCTCTCTCTCTCTCTCTCTCTCTCTCGTCTCTCTCTCTCTCTCTCTCGACTGCTTCTCTCTCTTCTCTCCTCTTCTCTTTCTCTTTCTCTCCGTTCTCTCTCTCACAGGGGAGAATGATGAGATGGCCTCTCCTCTCTCTCTCTCATCTCATCCGAGTCTCTTCTCCTCTCTTCCTCCTCTCTCTCCATCCTCACTCTCGAGTCTCCTCTCTAAATATACTTATATATATATATATATATATATAGATATTTCCTCTGTGGTCTATATCTCTCTCGCTCTCGATCTCCGCTGGTTCCTCGTCGGTCTCTCTCTCTCTTTCTTCTGCTCTCGTCTATCGCCTTAATTTCTCTCTCTATGATCGTGATGTTCGTCTCTTCGGATCTCTCTCTCTCCTCTCCCTCCGTCGCCTCTCTCTCCTCCGCTGCTCCTCCTCGTCTCCCTTCCGCTCTCTCACACACACCCCTTCAGTTAGCTCCGTTCTGGCTCCGCTCCGGCTCCACGTCCTCTTTTCTTCTTTCCTCGTCCTTCGTCACTACGTCTCTGTCTGTCTAACCTCTAAATATTTATTTCACTTCTGTTCTGTTTGTTGCCTTCATTCTGCATCGCTCGCGCGCTCGCTCTCTCTCTCTCTCTCCTTTTCTCGTCTTTACTCTACCTGCCTTCAAATCTCCTTAAGGCTGCGCCCCCAACAAGGGTGAACAATGATTTATATAGAAACGGTCTATGTGTTAACGGGAGAAAGAGTGCCCTGAAAGGCTGTCACCGTCGGAAGGGTTTAGGACGCGTGAAAAATGCCCGGCAGTACCTACGATTGCTAACTTACGTCCTTAGCGACCTTCTTATTTTTTTATTTCGATTTTTTTCATTTGTATTTTTTTAGTAGACGTTTCTTGCTTCATTTAATTGATTCCGACGGTCGATTGACGCCACGTGGAAACAAAAACAGGAAAAAAACTGATGACATTGTTTTATTCGAATTATTAAGCGTTTTGTCAGAAAACGACAATTTCTATTGAACCTCGCAGACGGCTAAGTGGGTTTGTCACGTTTCCTAGCACGTTTATACGCAAAAACAAAAACTCACGGGAAAGGCTAGCACGCGCGCTTGCATGGAAATTTCTGCACGGTATACATTATCATCCTGCTCACTAACACGGATCTTTACTATCTGAAGGTTTCAAGATTGAACACTGAGACCACTTACGAGAATTATGGCCAAGATTTTAGACTCGCTAATTTCGTTACCGTGATTTTCCTCGTCATTGAATTTTCGCTCGAGGAAAACTATGCCGCATAATGGAAGGGTTTTCCGCGCAGCGAGGCGAAGGGGAGGAGTAGGCCTACCTTACTCTACAGCAACCTAATCTCGTGGCGTTACACGCGCGTGTGTGCGTGCGTGCGTGCGTGCGTGCGCTCGTGTGTTGGTTCTTGCGCGCGCATTGTGCGTACATGCGTGCGTGTGTGCGTGCACGCGCGCGCGCGTGTGTGTGTGCGTGCGTGCGTGCGTGCGTGCGTGCGTGCGTGTGCGTGTGTGTGTGTGTGTGTGTGTGTGCGCGCGCGCGTGTTTGTGTGGTAATCATTGTTCGAGATAGCTTCGACTCTCTCATTTCGTTTTCGCTGTCAAACAGTTTTCAATAATAACGGTCAGCGCTAATAAATATGCAGCGTCAGCGCTATTATCTGCGTTAGTGCCGCGTGAAACTAGCGCCGCATCACGAGTCTTGACGATGCGCAAGAGATCCACTTGCATCGTCTGCATGCGCGCGCAACCCACGCTTTCGGTGACGTCATCACGCGATATGTACGTATGTACGTATGTACGTATGTACGTATGTACGTATGTACGTATGTATGTATGTATGTATGCATATACATCGGCATAAGCATAAACACAAAATAGATATCGTATTATTTTTGCAATTTGTCTGACCGGCGACTTAATACGTTGCTATACGAAGATAAGCGCATGTTATGAAGGATGCAAAAATAGACATCCACTGCATGACCTTTACCTGTGAGTTTTTGATAGATGAGAGAGCTTTCGGGATGAGTATATTTTAATCTGATTGCAAAGGATCACGTTTCCGCATAGTGTATGTTTTCGTGTAATAATGAATATCTCGGAAGCTCGCTCTATCCGCTGACACACAACTATATATATCGCGTGCCAGTACCACGGCCGAACACCCATAGCCCTACTCCTACTGGCTAATGCGATTCACCGTTGACATCACGAAACCACGCTATCGTGCTCTTCTGGCATTTTCTCGCGAGTTCACGCGAAACGAGGCGATGTTAAGCGGTTGATTCTTGCTCTTATCGTAAATCACCGTTAAAGTGATTACGTCACGAATTTCTAGCACCATCAAGTAGTATATTTGTGTGTTATTCTTATCGTAAAGCACCGTACGTCACGAATTTTCCATGGTAAAATTTGTAAAAAAAAATTGCCATTTTTTACATTAAAAGTAAGAACTAACGTTACTAAATATATCCTCAAACTCTCACCTGATAAAAATGTTTTTACGTTGGTTAAATTTGCAAAAATCTAGACGATTTGGTAATTTCTGTTGTCTAACACTATTTCCCCAGTACCGTTCAGATACTGGCGTCTCTCTGTTTTTCACCGGCAAATTAGGGCATATAAAAAAGGTATACACTATACACAATATACAGAAACACTAATTGTATTTTCATACATTTTATTTTGTACAAATAACACACAAATATACTACTTGATGGTGCTAGAAATTCGCGACGTAATCACTTTAATTATTTAGATCGAGAAACATATAGGCGTCATATATAGCGACGATGTGTATCTGACATTATACTCGTAGTCGCAAAAACAAACGACGCCATCGTCAACGTCACGACGATGATTCGCCTGTCATATATATATATATATATATATATATATACCCCACCAGCGCCCCGGTTTTCCCCCACCGCGTGACGCAGCTGTCTCCTAACCACTGAGCAAATTATCCGCGGCGAACGCCACCTGATATGCGCTTGACTTGAGAGCGCTCGCGTTTGTCACGAGATCCAGCGCGCGCTCCGAAACAACTGCTTTGGTAGCGGAGAATGAAAACCCGAGAGGCGAGCGGGGGATAGTATGACGTAATTTTAAGAGGCCGAGAGGAGAGAGCAGGTGATCAAGAGAGCTGTGAGGTGGAGCGAAGATGTGAAGAGAATAGGATGAGTGAAGGAAGTCAGAAAGGGATTAAGAGAACATGTGGGAACGAGAGAGAGAGAGAGAGAGAAAGAGAGAGAGAGTGAGAGAGAGAGAGAGAGAGAGAGAGAGAGAGAGAGAGAGAGAGAGAGAGAAAGAGAGACAGCGAGAAAAGGAGGGATGCGGGAAGGAGTGTCAGTACAAACCCCAGAGACATGTGGGCGTAGAAAACAAAGAAGAAGTGGCAGAAGTACTGTTTAATACACTATAGCGAAGTCACTGCTCGTAGATTGTTGTTGCTAATAACTTCACATTTTTGAGCGCAATTCTTCCGCTATTCCCCACTGCGTGCAAGTCAACAACAAGTGTATCCATACCTGACATCTGACATTTCACTGCATTCTCATACGAATTCCTATATATTATTTACGAAACGTGAAAGCTTTGAGAGATTGATCATGATTCGACTTTTTCATTTCATTCAAGTTTCATTGGTTTTGTTCGGGTGAAATCTCGGAATGCCTGTCTTAACAAGTTTGTAATTCTCGGATCGCTGCCGGAGAGAAAGTTTGGCGTGAGTCTTGACCTTGACTCGTGGCAAATTCTGTGATGGGATCATTGCAGCTTACGTGGCGACTGTTGTCGCTAGCATATTACTTAATATCGTGCCCTCTCTCCTTCATCCCGATCTCTTTTATTCTCCGTCTATTAATCCGTCTATCTATATAGTTCTTCCTCTCACTCTCCCCTTCTTTCTTCTTCTCTCTCTCTCTCACTTTCTCTTTCTTAGTGTACATCTCCTTCTCTCTCTCTCTCTCTCTCTCTCTCTCGCTCTCTCTCTCTCTCTTTCTCTCTTAGTGTACATCGCGCTCTCTCTCTCTCTTTCTCTCTTAGTGTACATCGCGCTCTCTCTCTTGCCTACTCTCTCCCACAACCTCAGGCCCTATATCTCTTTCCGTCTCCCTCGTCTATCGCCTCTCTCTTGTTTATTGTCGTCATCGTTTGCAGACGTCATCATGTGTTGTCGTCATCATCGTCGGCGGCGAGGTTTCTAAAACAGGTCGCACCGTGTGAGTGAAGCTTGCGAGAACACTATATATAATACTACTACTACTACTACTACTACTACTACTACTACTACTACTACTACTACTTCTTCTTCATCTTCTTCTTCTTCTTCTACTACTACTACTACTACTACTACTACTACTACTACTACTACTACTACTACTACTACTACTACTACTGCTGCTGCTGCTGCTGCTGTTACTACTACTACTACTACAACTAATGCTACTGCTAGTGCTGCTGCTGCTGCTACTACTGCTGCTGCAGCTGCTACTTCCGTCGCCGCTGCAGCTGCGTCTGTATATGTACGCGCGTGCGGAACGCGCAATATTGTCTCCGACGCGCGGGTTTATTCACGCCTCTTTTCGCTGTGAACGTAAATTTATCGCCACGCGGTCGAATGCACAAATGCGGAGTATATATTGACGACGCAAATGGCGTGCACGAATGCTTGAATCACCGTCTCTCGTCTGTCCACGCAAATCACGCGCACGAGCTCGAGGGAAGAAAATTATACGGTGTTACGGCGGTATAATAGACTTGCTCGGCTACGCCAGCCTGTTCTGCTAGCATCTGTGACAAGATTCTTCCTATGACAAATATTATTGTATGTGTTGTGCGCATCATAAGAGTTTAGGAGCGCTATTATGAACGCAATCAGTATATTTCAGCTGTAAAGCGGAACGAAGTTGACTCGCTAATATTTGTCATAGGAAGAATCTTGCTATGACAAATAGTGTCATAGGAGAGCGTAGATGCGTATGTCGTATTGCTCATAGATGCCAGCAGAACAGGCTGGTAGAATAGTCTTGCTCGGCTACGCATAAAAGTTTGAAGCCGCCCACCCGACCGCTCGTTGTTTCGTGTGACGTCACGGCTCGCACAATTTTGTCTTTTGCCTTGAGAGAAGCGGTGAAGCGTGACCGATGAGAGGATAATCTAATACGATGTAATGAGTTAGCGCAACAACGTTCCCCAGGTGTAATTTTACGAAGCACACGCGCGGGGTCGTGCACACTGACACCGTAACGGTTGTTAGAGAGATTAAATACAGGCCTATAATCTACGCGTGCGCGCGTGCGCGTGCGAGCGTAGGTGTATACAGGTTATTCACGTATCTTGCTATATAGGATCGGGTGAAAGATGGAACGAGATAGATAGAGCGAGATTGAAAGAGAAAGAGAGAAAAAAAGAGAAAAAAAGAAAAACAGAAAGAAAGAGAGAGAGAGCGCGCGCGTGCATGTGAAGCGGAAAAAAGGGCAGCGCGACTAAGAATGAAGAGAAAGAGAAAAAAAAACAGAGTAAAAGCAAGGGTGAGAGAGGACGAGAATGAGAAAAGAAAGAAAGAAAGAGGGG